AAGACAAATGAAATCAATCAAAGTATTCGTATTAGCTGAGTTACTGACTGATTGGTTTTGTTTTTCAGGCTGAGTTTGGAGACATCAGTGTTGTGGCTCATGCTAATGGATCATGTAACGTGGCTGTGCAGGTTCTGCAGAATGAAAACACAGTTGTCAGGTAAACTCGCATTTAAAAATCACCACAAGCTGTTTGAATGGTTCCGCTACATTAAAGTGCAATCAATGCTACCTTAATGTGCAATAGCTATTGTATATTGTCTAAAACTGTCAGTGTCTGTGATCTAATTTGTTATTGTGTACAATAACAGCCAGCAAACTTTGTTAACCTTCAATCAATATGAAAGCTAAATTAGCCCACTTGCAGAGATCTGATTTGATGAGTCACACATGAAAGCTATATCATTATACTGAGATGTAATAATGGACAATTGTAATAAAAGCCCTTTCACAGTGATTTGAGTGGCTTGTCACCGAGACAATGTTTCTGTGTAATTACACAAATGGCCCATGGATGTACATCAATTTGGAGTCTTCAGAGGCACATTCAAAACATTGTCTAAAACGAGACATTATAGCATAGACCTTAGTCAGGGTAGCGCTCTATATTTACTTTTTGACAGGAATGAAAACGAGGCTGTGAGGACAGAAGTACAGTGTGCTTAACAGATTGAACTGTTGTTAAAACATGCTGACTGTTCAGCTGTAAAGACTGTAAGTCTGTCCCTCACAGCCTTGTTTTCATCCGTTAAATTCAATATGGCATCTAATCTTATTAAGGTCTATTATTGATTATCAGACGTATTTAATTAAATATGAAAACTACCTCTGTTAGACGTGTGTAAGTGCCATCATACCCCGCTTCCACACCAAGTACTGAATGAGCCAGAAATGTCCTGTCTGCAGGAAACATCTCTGTATGGAAATAATAATCCTTGAGGTCTACTGATGTAAACCAGTCTCTGGGACGATGTTCTGAGTGTCAGTATTTTGGGGCCTGTCCGAATACCCACATTTGCAGTCTTTGACTACTTGTCTACTCACATTACATATTTCCTGTATTTTCCTGTATTTTGTGTGTGTAGAACCTTTCATTACCCGATGGGACATATTTATAGTGTTGTAAAAATGCAAATTACAGAGCTTTATTTAGATTTTTAAAACTTTACATTTTAAACTTACATTAACAGATTGCACTATTTAGTAATTCTGGTGCTTCTAATTAAGTGATAAGAGCAGTTGCAAATGATGCACGATGGGAGACCCTTAGCCGTGAGTACAGCTCTGAAGCATGGATTTAGTGTGCATTAAGGGCACTGCGCTTTGGCATATTTAAGATCTGGCACAGTCTTCCTGTTGCATGCACATGCTTTCACGTGGCCAAGACCGCAAATGTAGGTATGTGGAGCAGGTGAGCACAATTAGTCAAACAAGGACTAGACAACGACTAAATGAGGGAGCGTGGTAAAGGAAAACAAGGAGGCAGGACAAGGGAAGCACGTGGCCAACATAAAGACAGAGACATGTGCTCAGGCACAAAACAAATATAGAAACATGAAACAAAGACAAAACAGACTGCTCTCTTCTTCTAATATCTGTGCTGATTCCACTTGTGCTACTGGCATAACCACTCCATTGAAAATTGGAGTATGAAATGCTCCTCTATTGTGGATCAAACCCACAGCGATTGGTCTCCGCTCCTCCTCACTTACTGGTGCCACAGTGGTCTATAGAAGAAAACCCCCAGTGCTGCTCTCTGTCTGCTTGAGGTGAACAGCTCCTGTCCCTACAGAGCGCATAGCATGTTTTCCCTTCGCCTGAGCTGGTTTGGCAATGACCGCAGTAATCACAGTAGCCTCTCTTTGACTGTTGCGTGAAGTTTCACATGAGCAGACTGAAAAGGTCTAGCCCCAGTTCCATCATACTGTATATCTTGAATATCCAGCCATGCATAATCCTTAACAGGCACACTGTGAGATAAGGTTTGTTTCAGTGCCTTTATCTCCACAATACATACCGGGACAGCTGGTATAATTGGACAGCAGGTCTCAACTCTGGATTTTACATTAACAAGCAAATTAGGTAAGAGGATAGAGTCATTTTCCTCATCTTCATCATCGTCGAGAAGATGGGAGGACTTCTTGTTTCTCGCCCACAATTCCTGTGAGGTTCACTCTAGTAAAAAGACACACCCAGCCAACAGCAAAACAGGATTCAGAGGGAAGAAAGCTAGAATTACTAGTAGAGGTTAGACAACATATACAGCCACATTGCCAGTGTTGGGAAGGTTACTTTGGAAATCTAATAGGTTACAGATTACAAGCTAAAAATGTAATAAGTAGTGTAACTATTTCAATTACTTTATTAAAGTAATGTAACTGATTACATTTGATTACTTTTACATTTCTAATGTTTTCAACTGTTAATCATTTTCAAACATTTAAACACATTCAACTTTACAGCAGCACTCAACACTGATTACTGTCAGACTTTCAAAATCTTGAAGTAAGATTATTGTAATTGAACTTTAAAGCACAGCCACCACAAATCAGAACTTTGAGATCATTCCGAGGTTAAATACAGATCATAAAATCATAACAAGAAATAGTTTAGTAGCTATGATACTGTTTTTGAAATCAAATCTTTGCATAGCTCTAACTGGAAACACTGATATCTAGCAATGCCTTGGAAAAACAATTAATCTGAAAAATAAAGCATCTACATAAACCCAAACAGGAAATAAAAGAGTTATCTAATAAGCATGTGTCTATTCTCTGTCCTAAACTCCTGAAACACTGGTGTCTCATATTTTAGAGCACTCAGTGCAATTTATGAAAGAAATCAAATCAAATCTCTGTGTGAAAAAAATTCAGATGTAACCCCCTTTGTAATCCTTAACATTTTAATAAGTAACTGTAATTTAATTTCACATTTTTTCTCAGTAATTGTAACTGATTACAGTTACATTTATTCTGTAATTAAATTACGAAATTTCGTTACATGTCCCCAACACTTCACACTGCAAAGATGACTCAGAAAAATAACTTTCATCTATATATGTGTGTGTGATCTATGCCCCTACAGGTCATTTAAGCCTGACTTTGTCCTGATCCGACAGCATGCTTACAGCATGGCAGAGAATGAGGATTTCCGTAACTTAATCATCGGACTGCAGTACGCCGGCATTCCCAGCATCAACTCCCTGGAGTCCATTTACAACCTCTGTGACAAACCCTGGGCAGTAAGTTTGAGAATGGTCAATCTGACATGGCATATCATTTGATAGATATCTGCTCCAAACTCATCTCTCCAAACGTATCTGCAGTTTGCATGTCTGATCAGCACATGCAAGAAACTTGGACAGGAGAAATTCCCAATAATTGAACAGACGTTCTATCCCAACTATAAAGAAATGGTAAGAGATCGTTCCATAAACATTTTCTTCCAATGATGACTGTATCTGCATAATTAAATAAACAAATACTCTGTTTGTGGGAAAATGAACCAGGTGGCCATGCCGGCATTCCCTGTTGTCGTGAAAATCGGTCACGCTCACTCTGGTGTGGGGAAGGTAATGTTTAAACTGAAGCGATAACAGTAAAAGAAGCGATGCGTGCTCGTGCAGCTAAGATCGTAATCTAATTACATGTGTTGTTAAGGTGAAAGTGGAGAACCACACAAAGTTTCAGGACATAGCGAGTGTGGTGGCCATCACTCAGACCTACAGCACATGTGAACCATTCATCGAAGCCAAATACGACATCAGGATTCAGAAAATAGGAAATGATTACAAAGCTTACGTGTGAGTAACAATGCTTTTCTGTAGAGTTTCTGAACACATCTCAGATTTAGCTGAATGCTGTTCTTGACAGATGAAGAATGCTCCTCGTTTCATAGGAGGACGTCAGTCTCAGGTAACTGGAAGTCCAACACTGGCACTGCCATGGTGGAGCAGGTGGCTATGACCGACAGGTAACCCACGCAACAATGGCACCATTTAAAGCATCTGCTTTCAGGTAAGCAAATATGCTTCAAGCATGACTAAGCAAGTTGCATTATTCTGCAGGTATAAGCTTTGGGTTGACACCTGCAGTGAAATATTTGGAGGCCTCGAAATTTGTGCTGTCAAAGCTATTCATGGAAAAGATGGAAAAGATTACATTACTGAGGTATGTGCTATGCTTTTGCTAGATGTATATATGTGACATAGAGGGATGTTGTAGAGCTCAGGTGTTATGTAGATGTTTTCTTCTACAAATTCAACCAATGTGTTGTATTCTCTTTGTAGTATTACTATAACTGTGGTCATTTCATAAGGTAATGGGCTCGTCTATGCCATTGGTGGGGGGACATCAGGCCGAGGACCAGCAGCTGATAGCAGACATGATCATTACCAAAATGAATCATGTTATGGCACAAAATACCAAAAGACCAACTGCTATTCAACCAAGAAAGGTAGATAATGTATAGGTAACACTTTATTTCGATAGTCCACTTTAGACATTCTATTAACAGTAAGTAACTTTGCAACTACATGTCAACTAGCAGTTAGTAGAGTATTAGTAGACTGTCTGCTTAATATCTTCTAACACTTTCTTTGTCAACATTCTACTAACCCTAAACCTACCCTAACAGTCTACTCTGAGAGTTAGTAGACATCTAGTTGCAAATTAATGAGAATTAGTTGACATGTAGTTGACATGTAGTTACAAAGTTACTTATAGTTAATAGAATGTCTAAAGTGGACTATCGAAATAAAGTGTAACCTTAATTTTTGTTTGATTTTCAAAGCAAGTTGTCTATAGTGCAGAAACCAAAAATCATTCAGACACCAGATATTATTTTTTGGGTGCAGGACACTATAATTCATTTATGTAAGTGAGGATAGCAAAATAAAGTAAACTGTGACGTATTACACCCAAAATTTCTTCATACAGTGGACAACCAGTAAAATTGATAAAAATTTGGGACCAACAATTATTCAGACACTTTGACCTGAACATGTTTTGCTCAAGTGTTTTTCTTTAATTGCTAATGCGACCTTTTTACACCACAGACTGAACAAAATGAAGCATTGCTTGGTAATTGGTTGAGCTAGATTGGTATTATCTAATTGTGTGCTTAAATTTATTCAACCGAATTCATTACATGCCTTTCTATCAAAGTTATCTGACATTATCAAGATGAATTTGTTCTGACACAGTTTAACTATGAGTCTTGTCATATTTTATTACCATTTTCTAAACTATAGCGAATAAACTGTGAAAATGTGAGAAATGTTGAAGGTGTCTGAATAAATTTTGGCTTGACTGTATATTAGTACTCAATTTAAGCTTATAGAAATTAAAGTTTGAACTTATAAGTACGTTTTACTTGGAATTGTTTGTTATGTTTACAAGGATTCTTTAAGTAAATATCAAAGTTATGATCCGGTTGTTCCCATCATGCACTGGGGCATGAGTAATTAATAAGGTTAACTTTTTCACTCTTTTCGAGTTGTATTTATACTGTTTAATGGTTGCTTTTGCTGTTTAATAACTTGCTGTTTTGTGACATCTAGAGTTCATTTTCTACTCAAAATGACCCATTCGTACTCAAACACTATCCACTGATCGTTACCATCATTGTGTGTTGTGTATTGAGGTCTCTGTTCATTTGGGTAATAATTATATTGAGTAGACTTATTATTTAAAAAAGGATAACGAGCTATCTACTTGCTTACTTGCATGTTTGTAAGTGATCCATATAGCATTTTTTTTTTCAGTGCTACATTGTTTGAGTAAAGTTATAAACCATAACTGTGAAATGTACTTGAGTATTGCAGATTAAACTTAAAATAATTAAGTAGAAATGACTCCTCAAACTCTAACTGGCCATGTTAAATTTACTTATTTCCTTTGCTAATTTTACCTAACTTGGTAAAGTAGTTTTTACTTAATTCAATACTTAAATTTTACTTACAAATATGAATGCAAATATGCATGCGTGTGTGTTTTTTTTTTGTTTGGTTTTTTTTTTGAGCATGAGTGTATGAGCAGATGTGCTTGTTTCTTTCAGAATGCTCTTGATAAGGATGCGGTGGTTGAAGTAAAGCACGGCCCATCACAGAAAGCTCCTCCACAAGGCTGTTTGCAGTACATTCTTGACTGCAATGGTGTTGCAGTGGGACCAAAATTAGTGCAGGCAAACTAACATAACCGTGAAAGCTCGAAGCATTTAAGCTCCCGACAGGTTGTGTTCAAACATTCAGACAGTGACCTGAGGTGCAAGGGAACAAATAATCTGTAAGAAAAGTCTTAGTTTGGGCCTGATCCGTATTTCAGTCTGTACTGTGTAACTTTCACTGTTCTGCGCTTGTGATGGTTGCTTTGTTTCTATGTGAAGCGATTGTCTCTTCAGGGTTGTTGTGTGTGGTGATACAGCAGATTGTGCCTAGTGTTCAGTGCCACTCTTTCCTTGTACTTATTTTTTTTCTTGTCTCATGTCTTGTGTTATGTTTTAGTAAATGGTGTTCAAAGAGTTACAGTGTGTGAGTGAGTGTGTGTGTACCTTGTATTCACTAGTATAATAATACCAGTAAATTTTGTCCTTGTGGGGACATTTTTTGGACCCCATGAGGGAAATAGCTTATAAATCATACATAACGTTTTTTGAAAAAGTAAAAACGCAGAAAGTTGTGTGTGAGGGGTAGGTTTAAGGGTATGGTTAGGGCAATGGCATAGACAATACAGTTTGTACAATATAAAAACCATTACGTCTATGGAATAAACCCATAAAACATACAAACCAGTATGTATGTGTGTGTGTGAATGGTGTTAATCATACATGAATGGAGACTATAAAATATAAATGAACATTTAATTGCATGATCAAATGTGTGTGTGTCATTGTGTGTTAAAAAGTAAGGTGTGCATTTTCTTTTGTGACATCACTGTTGAAATAATAAATATCATACTGTATATGCACTTCTAGTATTGTGAATGTGTTAAAAAATATGGTGAAATGTATTTACCACAATGGATGAAAGCTATATTACTAAACATCAATCGTTTTTTGTTCTTGTTACCAATATGATTGCATAAATGTGATTACATAAACAATAAGCAATAAAAATAAATCTCTGAACAAACAATGAACCAGTTAAGTGAATGTGCTTAACTTTCAGACAATGTTGACTGTCAACCTTAAGAGTTCAAAATAAAATTATATTGTTTAATTTCTCTTCATTTATATTAAAAATGCAAACCTTGTCACCAAACTTTGGGATCTAAACTCCCCAATTTAAGAAAACTCTTTAAATAAACATCACAAAATAACAAAATGAATCCCATTTGTCTTTAGGAACTTGCAGTCTTGAAGTCTCTACTAATGAGCAGGGGCGGACTTACCCATTAGGCAAAGGTAGGCGACCGCCTTGGGCCCCCAAAAGCCAAGGGCCCCCTAAAATGCTTTTCATATAGGATATGCGCATTAAGCGCTGACACGCGAACGGTTGCTGTTTACGGTGTTTATTACCACGACAACTTATTTTTTTTTCAGTTTTATTTAAATTTGTAGTTAAAACAACTTTTAAACAACTAAACTTTTAAAGTTTAGAATTAGACAGCCTTTGCACACAGGCTTAAGCTGAAAACAACAAAATGGAACCTCAAGGTTGATCTAGGAAAATGTGTGCAAATGTATAGGGCCCCATTCCTATATTTTGCCTGGGGCCCCCAATTCACTAAATCCGCCCCTGCTAATGAGCTGATGGCCTCGATCAGGTGTGTTTGATTAAGAAGATATGTGAAATGTGCACTGTTGGGGGACTCCAGGAACTGGGTTGAAAACCCCTGCACTATAAAACCATTTAAACAGAGTGTCTAAAATCTGAAGATGGTTTTCCCAGGTATCAGAATATCACACTTCATCATCAAGATGTTTCACAACTGTCTACATAGCAAGCACTCTTTAATAGTTAAAACATAGCAGGAGTATTTTTCAGGCCAAAACCTATATGACAATATATTGTACAAGCTCCCTGTCAGAGCCTTTTCAACAAGTTGCCCCATCAAACCACTGAATGAAGGAATGCAAGCATCCATTATTGCTCTCTCTAATCATATTGGTAACACTTTATTTTGATAAACTTTAGACATTCTACTAACAGTAAGTAACTTTGCAACTACATGTCAACTATCAGTCAGTAGAGTATTAGTAGACTGTCTGCTTAATAGCTTCTAACACTTTATTTTGATGGGTCCACAACATACAACATACTGACTATGAGAAACTTTGCAAGTATATGCCAGCTTATTCTACTAACCCTAACCCTAACCTAACAGTCTACTCTGAGAGTTAGTAGACATGTAGTTGCAAATTAATGAGCATTAGTTGACATTTATAGTTGCAAAGTTACTTATAGTTAGTAGTAGATAGTAAATCACCAGATTTGTTAACATTTGGGCAGGATCCACTATTGCCAGTTAACTTTTTATTGGGCAGAATTGAGACCAGAATTGAGTCCACTAGATTTCTGATAGTCAAGGCAGGCAGGCCCGAAGGTGGAATAAACAGATACTGTCTTCAACTGAACTATGTTCTTTTCTGGAAATTCTTTGTATTAAGTTTCAAAACATACCAAGACGAGGATCATAACCTGTTTAATTTATAGGCCCTCTTATGCTAAAATGGTAGAAGGTAGGCACTCATTAAACATGACTAGCATTATATGTACATATCCGTTCCATCAACAGGAAAAAGCAGATATGTGTCTACCACTGAAATGGCTTTAGAGACATTAATGATTTGTTAGTGACTTCTGATTTGGTTCTTTTTCTGTCATTATTCTTTTTTATCTTAGAGCCACTTTTGACAATGTTGATCACTCTGTTATTCACCGCCGCTGTCGCCTCGCCTCTGGCTTGCTTAGTTGGGGACACTTAATTTCCAGTGATATATCGTCGACTTGATTGCACAGATACTATTTAAACTGAACTGAGCTGGATGATGACATCACTGAATTCAATGATGAACTGCCTTTAACTGAAAAATTAGTGTTTACTATTGTCCTTCTGCATTATTGACACACTATTTTCCTAATTAATGCTGTACAGTTGCTTTGACACAATCTGTATTGTTAAAAGCTCTATATATAAATAAAGGTGACTTGACGACCCGTCGTGAAATTGGTGTCCCGGCAACTGCTTTCAGATCTCAGATCATAGGCAGTTTGTCTCTCTGGGTGGATATAGATCTGAGATGTGTACAGGTCATTTTGGTGTCCCTCAAGGTTCAATTATGGGCCCCCTTACTTTTTAGTATGCACATTTTTTTTCTTTTGGTCAGTTTTTAAGATCACTCTTTCTTAATTACCATTTTTATGCATATGATGACACTAAGATTTACATTATTTAGAAATCTGGTGACAATAAGGCAGTCACTTTTTACACTATGATGCCTCTTCCTTCAACAGAACAATGTATTTGTGCCCTCCACACACCCCTAACCCTACCCCTCACACAACACTACTAGCAAATTTTGAATTTCAGAAATCACTGTTTAGTATGTTTTTTAAAAAGCTATTTGGTTTACAGGGACACAGGAAGTGTTCTCATATGGTGGTTCATGGGGACTCTCCATAGGCGTAATGGTTTTTATACTGCGTAAATTATATTTGCTATCGCCCTACACCTAAACCTACCCCTTACAGAAAACTTTGTACAGTTTTAGATTTAAAAAAAATTAATTCTAAAGGTTTTATAAGCCTTTTGAATTAAGGGGACATAGGCAGTGTCCCCATAAACCACCTTCACATTGTAATAACTCTGTCATACCCACGTCATTATACAAATTTGTATCCCTGTAAACCACCCAAACAAGTCCACACACACACACACACACACAGGAAAGCAAACACACCTGTGGGAAAAGCGGCCTCTCGTCCTTGGACTTCTCTTCATGGCTTTAGGACAACTCTTATAGAGCTTACTGAGGTCTGGAGACAGATATCCCGGACCAACCATGTCAATTATCTGAATAAAACCGTATAAAAAGCTTAAGAAAGCACAGGGAACCACTGTAAATACATGCAATTAAATATTTAGTATTAACTACACAACAGCGCAAGTCTTTTATTGTGGGACTTGTTTAAATAATAGCTAACTGTCTTCAATAGACTAAACTTTCTCATAATCTTTCTCATAATTCACAAAATCTGCCAAAAATCACATTTTGATCAAAAACCAAACAAAATAATTATAATAATGATAAGAAGATTAGATTTTGCATAATGTCAATTCTCTTTTTATATATTCTATTTTGTTTATTTTTTAAATTTTCATTGTGACATTATTTTCATGACAATTAAGCAAAAAAAAAAAAACTATTGTCAAGACAACAGGAGCTGGACATTTTTGTGAGATTCACCCAACTACTGAGGCGAAATGACGCAGAATGAAATAAATATGTGTAGAACACTAGATTTAAATAACAAACATCTTTTGGCTGATTTATAAGCCGTTTAAAGGCACAATATGTAAGATTTTTTTAAATTAAAATAACCAAAAACCACTATAACAGTGTTATATATTTTGCTGACTTGTGTACTTACATTATCCCAAATGTTTCGAAGAATGTTTAAATCCAGAGAAATAAGCAATTTTAACTAGTTACACAGAGCATGTCCATTGTGTCATTGTGTCGCCTGCCAATGACGTCATAAATAGGGGTGTAACGATTCATCGATTTGGATCGATACATCGATACTATGTCTGACGATACGATGCATCGATGCCACACGTAAAATATCGATATCTGTAGTATAAATAGGCACCTTTATTTTGGCACTGTCCACATTTTCACATAATGTCCGTCTAAGCATTACCGCCAACGCGTGCATTCTCGTTCAAACTCACTATCAGGACTCGATATAAGGACTGCTCAAAGGCACAAGGTGAGCATAAAAGACGCTCGGGATTGTTGGCGGCAGTGTTGCCAGACGTACGATAATTATCGTATTTGTACGATAATTTTGACCTCTGTACGATGTACGATCAATAATGAAAAAAATCCCATAATGTATGATAATTTCGAAATTTCAGGATGTGTTTTTTCCAAAGTCAACCTCATCAAAACAAAGCCATGAAATCGGCTCATTACAGACGCTCTAAATGGGTTGGTGCACACCTCAGGGCCCTCAACATCTGGCAACACGCTGGATTCTGACTCAGAGGTGGAGTTTGGACCGTCCCACAAGGTACGCTTATGGCCCTATGATTTCTGCGATGCGGAAAACACGGATGGAATGGCGGAATCCAGTCAACGGAATTTACTGTATAATGCGGAATGTCAGGGAATTTGTCAAAGTTTGGATGAATTAATCAAAGGAAGGTCATTACACTTAAATCGTGATATGGACTAGTATCTGTAAATATTAAGCCGCAAAAAGGCTATTTAAATATAAATCCTGCATGTTCTGTGTCTGTCTGAATCATAGTCTATGGTCTGAAGGAATGTCATGCGGTTTTGTTTACTACACACATACTGAAGCGCGTGAGTTCAGCATCTGCCTTCTCACTAAATAGGACATAAATACATGAAC